GCCATGGTGGAGAGTTTGGAATCTGATTGATTGCTTCTGTGGACAGGTATCTTTTATACAGGTAACAAGCTGAAATTAGGAGCACTCCCTTTAAGAGTGTGCTCCTAATCTCAGCTCGTTACCTGTATAAAAGACACGTGGGAGCCAGAAATCTTTCTGATTGAGAGGGGGTCAAATACTTATTTCCCTCATTAAAATGCAAATCAATTTATAAAATTTTTGACGTGCGTTTTTCTAGATGTTTTTGTTTGTTATTCTGTCTCTCACTGTTCAAATAAACCTACCATTAAAATTATAGACTGATCATGTCTTTGTCAGTGGGCAAACTTAAACTCAGCAGGGGATCAAATACTTTTTTTCCTCACTGTATGTTATATATTGACAAGTCACTTATCAAATAATTACCTCTTATCAGTCTCATTCTGAACGTTGCATAATCCTTGAACCTGCAAGAACCGTAACCTTATTGATCAATCAGCAATACACAAATTGGCTTAAGTATTTATTTACTAACTAAATAATAACACAATACAAACACACACACAGGTTATTGATTACTAACGTAATACAGTGAAAATAGGTCCCTCGTGGACTGGACTAACAATAGCATGAATTATTGGGTAGAAGGAGGCTGATTCAGAGAGAGGGGGGGAAAGGAGGAGACAAAGGAATTCACCTATTGGACATTTCTTAACTACACTGACGGAAATACAAATGCTTAGCACCTGCTCATTCGGATTAGAAATGCAACATGTGTTTACGTGTAGCTGTCCTCGATAGTTGAGTTGATGATGTAGGACTGTGGTTTGCCCACCAGAGATCCCAATGTCCTTGGTAGAGTTTCTGGTCGTAGTCGTGGTTAGAATGGTTACTTCAGCGTACCCTGTAGTTCGTACAGTTGATCTGTTAGAATAGATACTTCAGATGTACCAGCCGTTGTCGGAGAGGGATTGTCCTTCCCAACTCGTGTCTTTAGTGAAAGTTCATGCCAGCTGCAGACTGAGATGATAAGGTGTAGTGCATTGTCTTCTTCTTTACCTCATGTAGAGGTTGAGAGTTTCAGAGTTTCTCCATTTCAAATGTGTGGACTAACGTCTCACGTTTTCTGGTCTAACCATTTTGTAACGTGTAGCTTCAGCTTCACGGTTCTTGGTCTTGTAGAAATTAAACCATTTGCACCATACGGCTTATGCTGTAGTATGCTTGGTCTTCCTTTGGTAATGGAGTCGTAGTTTTAAACCATTTTGTTACGTTTAGCTCACGCTTCACGTCTGCTGGTCTGGTGTTAAAATGTTTTTCAAGGCTTTTTATGCACTCGGGGTAAAAGGGGCATTGCATCATGTTTGTGCTCATCTGGGCGTGGCCACTGACTGAGAACAAATCAATATGGAAAACAATCATCTCATCTAGAATGCTAAAATCACATTGTTATCTTCACAAAAGTATTATATTTAATCATTCGTTTTATTCAACAATTAGATGCAAACCTCATAACTTGGAAGTGTACACCCCCAGAGATAGTTACAGTTGAAGTCGGAAGTTTACATACACTTTAGGTTGGAGTCATTAAAACTCGTTTTTCAACAACTCCACAAATTTCTTGTTAACAAACTATAGTTTTGGCAAGTCGGTTAGGACATCTACATTGTGCATGACACAAGTAATTTTTCCAACAATTGTTAACGGACAGATTATTTCACTTATAATTCACTGTATCCCAATTCCAGTGGGTCAGAAGTTTACATACACTAAATTGACTGTGCCTTTAAACAGCTTGGAAAATTCCAGAAAATGATGTCATGGCTTTAGAAGCTTGTGATAGGCTAATTGACATCATTTGAGTCAATTGGATGTGTACCTGTGGATGTATTTCAAGGCCTACCTTCAAATGCAGTGCCTCTTTGCTTGACATCATGGGAAAATCTAAAGAAATCAGCCAAGACCTCAGGAAAAAATTGTAGACCTCCACAAGTCTGGTTCATCTGCAATTTCCAAACGTCTGAAGGTACCACGTTCATCTGTACAAACAATAGTACGCAAGTATAAACACCATGGGACCACGCAGCCGTCATACCGCTCAGGAAGGAGACGCGTTCTGTCTCCTAGAGATGAACGTACTTTGATGCGAAAAGTGCAAATCAATCCCAGAACAGCAAAGGACCTTGTGAATATGCTGGAGGAAACAGGTACAAAAGTATCTATATCCACAGTAAAACAAGTCCTATATCGACATAACCTGAAAAGCCGCTCAGCAAGGAAGAAGACACTGCTCCAAAACCGCCATAAAAAAGCAAGACTACGGTTTGCAACTGCACATGGGGACAAGGATCGTACTTTTTGGAAAAATGTCCTCTGGTCTGATGAAACAAAAATAGAACTGTTTGGCCATAATGACCATCGTTATGTTTGGAGGAAAAAGGGGGTTGCTTGCAAGCCGAAGAACACCATCCCAACTGTGAAGCACGGGGGTGGCAGCATCATGCTGTGTGGGTGCTTTGCTGCAGGAGGGACGGGTGCACTTCACAAAATAGATGGCATCATGAGGAAGGAAAATTATGTGGATATATTGAAGCAACATCTCAAGACATCAGTCAGGAAGTTAAAGCTTGGTCGCAAATGGGTCTTCCAAATGGACAATGACCCCAAGCATACTTCCAAAGTTGTGGCAAAATGGCTTAAGGACAACAAAGTCAAGGTATTGGAGTGGCCATCACAAAGCCCTGACCTCAATCCTTTAGAACATTTGTGGGCAGAACTGAAAAAGCGTGTGCGAGCAAGGAGGCCTACAAACCTGACTCAGTAACACCAGCTCTGTCAGGAGGAATGGGCCAAAATTCACCGAACTTATTGTGGGAAGCTTGTGGAAGGCTACCCAAAACGTTTGACCCAAGTTTAAATTGTTTAAGGCAATGCTACCAAATACTAATTGAGTGTATGTAAACTTCTGACCCACTGGGAATGTGATGAAAGAAATAAAAGCTGAAATAAATCATTCTCGACTATTATTCTGACATTTCACATTCTTAAAATAAAGTGGTGATCCTAACTGACCTAAGACAGGGAATCTTTACTAGGATTAAATGCCAGGAATTGTGAAAAACTGAGTTTAAATGTATTTGGCTAAGGTGTATGTAAACTTCCGACTTCAGCTGTATGTTGTTCCACCGTCTTTAATGATATCACAACATAGTAACGAATTTGACATGATTGTTCTTTAAGTCCCTAACGACAATTTCCCACATTCTTTTAAGTAGGAATATTGTTTCATTATCCACTTTTGGATGTTGGAGTCTTGGCGGGAGACTTCCTTTGTCTCGTAGGGAAATTCCCTCTCCCAATACTGCATGGCACGGAAAAGAAAGTTTCTGCAAGGAATTTACCACATGAAAGGGGGTGTTCAAACCTTTGCCTAGCAGGCATATTTGATCCTCAGCCCATGAGGGCAAGTTATGACACCAGGGTCTTGACCTGACTGCAGTTCGGTGTCGTAACCAACTTCAGTGGACAAATGCTCACCTTCGATGTCCACTGGCATACTGGAGAGGTGGGCTCTTCGTGGGTGAATCCTGGTTTCAACTGTACCGGGAAAATGACAGACAGTGTGTATTGCATTGTGTGGGCGAGCAGTTTGCTGATGTCAACGTTGTGTATAGAATGCCCCATGGTGGCGGTGGGGATATGGTATGGGCAGGCATAAGCTACGTACAATTAACACAATTGCAATTTTATCAATGGCAATTTGAATGCACAGAGATACTGCGACGAGATCCTGAGCCACCATCACCTCATGTTTCAGCATGTCGCAAGGATATGTACACAATTCCTGGGAGCTGAACATGTCCCAGTTCTTCCATGGCCTGCATACTCATCAGACATGTCACCCATTGAGCATGTTTGGGATGCTCTGGATCGATATGTAGACAGCGTGTTCCAGTTCCCGCCAATATCAAGCAACTTCACACAGCCATTGGAGAGGAGTCGGACAACATTCCACAGGCCACAATCAACAGCCTGATCAACTCTATGCAAATGAGATGTATCGTGCTGCATGAGATCAATGGTGGTCACACCAGATACTGACTGACTTTCTGATCCACGCCCATACCTTTTTTTGAAGGTATCTGTGATCAACAGATGCAGATCTTGCTGTTTGGGTTTTTAGGCTGGGTGTATGTATTGCACTTTGTGACATCTGCTGATGTAAAAAGGGCTTTATAAATACATTTGATTGATTGATATATGTATTCCCAGTCATGTCAAATCTATAGATTAGGGCCTAATGAATATATTTCAATTGTCTGATTTCCTTATATGAATTTTAACTCAGTAAACTCTTTGAAATTGTTGCATGTTGCGTTTATATTTTTGTTCAGTGTAGTTAGCTACCACCAAACCTGCACAAACCTGTGGTTAACTCTGCTGCTGCTGCACAGACTTTCTGGCTGTTCTGCCCTCTCCACCTCCCTGTTGCCTCAACCTGCTCCTTTTTGTTTTGGGGCACTCTTTCGGAAGAAGTTCCAAATACCCAAACTCTCTGACTGAGTGACAGGCGTTTTGCTGAGTGACGATAATGACATCTATTGGTGCTTTAAAGACAACTGGGAACTAAAAAAAAAACGAGATCAAATCACGACGTCGGTGATCTTCAGGTCGGAAACACGACTTGGAATTCTGAGTTGGATGACCGTTCAAAATATTTTTCCCCAGTCGGAGCTTGTATTTTCCGAGTTACCAGTTGTTTTGAACGTGGCATAACCGGTGCTGTAGGGGTGGGGGACGTGAGCGGTCCACTGCGTTGTGAAATCTCAACCAATCACACCAGGCACCGCGTCACTCCCGGGGCTTGCAGTGCCTACTGCCTACCGCAGTATATTATATTGTATATTTTGGTGATTTACATTTTTCAGTAATTATTTTTGTTATACTGCAAAGCGCAAGTGATGTGTGCTTATGGAAACTCATAGACTGAAATGTAAAAAAAAAAAAAAAAAAAACATTGGTCAGGTGAAGCAACAGCTGGTGTCATTCTGGAAGTGGAGGAGAGAAGCGTTCACAGCAATGTACTCCATCTGGAAGCCTCCTGCGACTACAGACGCATCGGACAGGAACTTTAGTGTCATCACATTCCCTGTGGGAGAGAGAAACGGAAATCAATAAACAATTGATGATTAAAAAAGGGTTATCAATGCCAGAAATGTACTGTAGCTTTTTAAAAATCTATAATAATAAGTATTTAATATGGCAATAAAATAGGAATTGTTTGTGCATACCTGTGCTTATTACATCATTTGGTAAATAATCTCCACAGTATCTGGAAATAATACATATATTTACTTGATAGTAGAGCAACATGGTCAGACAAAACTCCACTAGAGGACAGTAGCCTACTGTATGTTATGACAGTATGTTGTGGGAAAAGACATGAGTCTTACGAGTCTTGTGAGTCTATGTGAGTATCAATACATTTAGTACAATGAAACTTCCTGTCATCTTGGATAAGACTAACAACCCTGAATCAACCATTACAATGTGAACTCAACAAACTAAAACTAAATGCAAAGGCACATTCAATCAAAACCTGGATCCTCACCTTCCGGCGAAGCCAGAGATGTCGTCATAGCTGTCATAGATCTCTAGAAAGTCTGCTAGACAGCCTGTGTCCTCCTCCACATCGAACTCCAGGAAGTGCAGACGTATCCTCTGTCCATAGCGCACGCGGATGTGCCAGTAGCAGATCTGCTCATCCTGGTACTCCTCTGGGTAACCAGGTGACTGGATGATCCTCTGCTGGTCTGTCAGAGTACCTCCACATTCCTTCACTGTGGACCAGGAGAGAGAAGGAGGAGACAGGATGAGGAAATATACTGAAGAGATAAAAGCTAGCTATATTTATTAGATGAGATAGATTAATACTTTAGCTGATTAAAGAAGACTTTGTAATGGGTAATGTCCATAGATAAAAGTAAAGTTAATCTTATGCACACTGGCTGTTGCTTTAGACTCCAGAGTAATGATATAATATAAGCAAAACATTTCAGCAAAAACTATCATTGTGTATTACATTTGCTGTCATCATACGTAAATGCATTATGATAAATTAAAATCTGGGAATTGTTTTGGCTTGTGTTGTTCTCTCTGATGTGACCACTGAATGAAGTTAGAAATAAAGTTTGAGGCCTCCCGAGTGGCGCAGCGGTCTAAGGCTTCACTACAGACCCAGGTTCGATCCTAGGCTGTGTCATATCCGGCTGTGACCGGAAGTCCCATAGGGCAACGCACAATTGGCCCAGCGTCATCCGGGTTAGGGGAGGGTTTGGCCGGGGGGGCTTTACTTGGCTGATCGCGCTCTAGCGACTGCTTGTGGCGGGCCGGGCGCCTGCAGGCTGAATTCGGTCGTCAGTTGAACAGTGTTTCCTCCGACACGTTGGTGCAGCTGGCTTCCGGGTTAAGCGGGCGGATGTTAAGGAGCGTAGTTTGGCGGGTCATGTTTCGGAGGACGCATGACTCGACCTTCGCCTATCCCGAGCCTGTTGGGGAGTTGCAGCGATGAGACAAGATCGCAATTGGGGTGAAAAAGGGGGGTAAAATACAAAAAATACAACAAAAGAAAAGTTTGAAAGAAAGACTTCTTTGTCTTTTGAATGAACACAATTCATTCCACATGTGCAGTTGGGTGAAAATGAAATCAAAAAGCTCCCCTAGATCTCTAGGATTTGTAGAAGGAAAATTCATGTAATTAAGAGTTGTTTTTATGCAATTCAACCATCATTTGTGAAATGTGAACCATACATCCTCAAAGTCACAGGCAATTAGGGGGAAAATTAGTGCCGGTTTCCCAAATGGCACCCTATTCCCTTTGTAGTGCACTACTTTTTGACCAGGGCCACAGGCAGTATCACTCAAGGTAGCTATCTCATCCAATGAGGCAACCTCCTCCATGTTGAGTACAGTCGTCACGTGGTGCCAACTCCCAACTCCCCTGCACTGTGTGGTCATATATCATTCTCCACCATGAAAACAGGCCTCAATACAGCCGTTTTGAGTTGACAAAAAATATATAATTCTTCTTATTCATTCAAGTGGTATACACAGTAGCAATTTAGTTTCTCCTCAGTTGCTTTAGGACTCTAAAACCTAATGAAATGTAACATATTTGGACCAAAATTCATATTCTATCTTAATCTATCAGGCAGATGGAGCTGACAATTTATGGTTGTGACCATGGTGATTCCAATATTGTTTGTAGAGACCTTTCCAGACCATTAGTGGTCTTGTTGCACTACAGTGGGGGAAAAAAGTATTTAGTCAGCCACCAATTGTGCAAGTTCTCCCACTTAAAAAGATGAGAGAGGCCTGTAATTTTCATCATAGGTACACGTCAACTATGACAGACAAAATGAGAAAAGAAATTCCAGAAAATCACATTGTAGGATTTTTAATGAATTTATTTGCAAATTATGGTGGAAAATAAGTATTTGGTCAATAACAAAAGTTTCTCAATACTTTGTTATATACCCTTTGTTGGCAATGACACAGGTCAAACGTTTTCTGTAAGTCTTCACACACTGTTGCTGGTATTTTGGCCCATTCCTCCATGCAGATCTCCTCTAGAGCAGTGATGTTTTGGGGCTGTCGCTGGGCAACACGGACTTTCAACTCCCTCCAAAGATTTTCTATGGGGTTGAGATCTGGAGACTGGCTAGGCCACTCCAGGACCTTGAAATGCTTCTTACGAAGCCACTCCTTCGTTGCCCGGGCGGTGTGTTTGGGATCATTGTCATGCTGAAAGACCCAGCCAAGTTTCATCTTCAATGCCCTTGCTGATGGAAGAAGGTTTTCACTCAAAATCTCACGATACATGGCCCCATTCATTCTTTCCTTTACACGGATCAGTCGTCCTGGTCCCTTTGCAGAAAAACAGCCCCAAAGCATGATGTTTCCACCCCCATGCTTCACAGTAGGTATGGTGTTCTTTGGATGCAACTCAGCATTCTTTGTCCTCCAAACACGACGAGTTGAGTTTTTACCAAAAAGTTCTATTTTGGTTTCATCTGACCATATGACATTCTCCCAATCCTCTTCTGGATCATCCAAATGCACTCTAGCAAACTTCAGACGGGCCTGGACATGTACTGGCTTAAGCAGGAGGACACGTCTGCACTGCAGGATTTGAGTCCCTGGCGGCGTAGTGTGTTACTGATGGTAGGCTTTGTTACTTTGGTCCCAGCTCTCTGCAGGTCATTCACTAGGTCCCCCCGTGTGGTTCTGGGATTTTTGCTCACCGTTCTTGTGATAATTTTGACCCCACGAGGTGAGATCTTGCGTGGAGCCCCAGATCGAGGGAGATTATCAGTGGTCTTGTATGTCTTCCATTTCCTAATAATTGCTCCCACAGATGATTTCTTCAAACCAAGCTGCTTACCTATTGCAGATTCAGTCTTCCCAGCCTGGTGCAGGTCTACAATTTTGTTTCTGGTGTCCTTTGACAGCTCTTTGGTCTTGGCCATAGTGGAGTTTGGAGTGTGACTGTTTGAGGTTGTGGACAGGTGTCTTTTATACTGATACTGTGGTCCTCTGTAGCTCAGCTGGTAGAGCACGGCGCTTGTAACGCCAAGGTAGTGGGTTCGATCCCCGGGACCACCCATACACAAAAATGTATGCACGCATGACTGTAAGTCGCTTTGGATAAAAAGCGTCTGCTAAATGGCATATTATTATTATTATTATAGATAACAAGTTCAAACAGGTGCCATTAATACAGGTAACGAGTGGAGGACAGAGGAGCCTCTTAAATAAGAAGTTACAGGTCTGTGAGAGCCAGAAATCTTGCTTGTTTGTAGGTGACCAAATACTTATTTTCCACCATAATTTGCAAATAAATTCATTAAAAATCCTACAATGTGATTTTCTGGATTTTTTTTCCTCAATTTGTCTGTCATAGTTGACGTGTACCCATGATGAAAATTACAGGCCTCTCTCATCCTTTTAAGTGGGAGAACTTGCACAATCGGTGGCTGACTAAATACTTTTTTTCCCCACTGTACATGTAATGAGGACATGAATAAGAGGTCCTTATGGTATAGCTGACCCTGCTCATTCCTGATTCATTTTAGACAAATCTGACAGAGTTGACCAAATCTCTGGACACATCCTTTTGAGAGAAATTTTGACTTTAAAGTCACATAGGGCTATTGCAAGAAACTACATAAGATACGTTTTCAGTTAATAATCATTATTGCCAGTTTTTAGAATTTTAAACACTTTTCTGTAGAGTTTGAAATTGGAATCCTTTGCTCCGGACAAGGGTAAAAAGTATTTAAAAATGTAAATGATAAAGCTCAAATAATGCAACAATTTGTATTTTTAGTTTCCCTGCTGGACAAGGATTGTCCCGACAGCCATTGGGTAGTTTAAAGACTGGATTCTTACCACATTACTTAAAGTATTACATTTTCATATCATACAGAGACAAGTAACAGCCATTGGATATTAAGTGACTGTGTTCCTTGTTGGCTTTACACCTCAAAGTGTTGCTTTGCCGCTCCAATCTATAAATGTATTAGATTTACATATCAGCTAGAGATGTTCGGGCCATTAGGGTTTCAGTTTGTCCCTAATAGGCTTTACACCTTGAAGTGTTTATTTGCCTCACCCACAGACTTGTATAATTATCCACATCGGCCTCACCATTCCATAAGGCTGACACACCGTTAAACAGTCCAGCCCCAGCTAGTAAATAACGTTCTGAGATCCAAATGTTTCTTAGAGCTTGGTGAGAGCATGGCTGTCCTATGGCTATTTTACATACAACCTTCCCACAACTTTCTGGGAATGGTGCAGGATAGTTAAAACATGGTTACCTTTTATTAACATTTTGGCAATGTTCTAGGAACGTTCTCCAACTGGTTTGACATTGGGAATGTTCTCAAATAGTTCAGAGAATGTTAAGAAACAATGTTCTTCTGTGGGAATTTCAGTACTTCAGCATAACATTTCCTACAGGTTTCATCATGGTTCCATTTAAAGTCATGTTCTCAAATTGTTCAGAGAACTTTAAGAAAACTTTCCAGAAAAACCACCAGAAAACGTTATTAATGTTCAGAGAACGTTCTAAGAATTGTGTTTAAAAACATATACATTCCGTTCTCAGCATCAACAAAACTCTCTCTAGCCTCCATCTTGTTAAGTCTGTTCAGGTGTGTTGGCCGCACCCACTTATTGGCCACACCTGATATTTATGAGTGCTTGTTTCCTTTGAAATGGGGTCTGTTTGAATAGACTAAAATGAACAGCTTTGTATGTGTAAAAAACATGGCATGCTAGCCCCATCCTGGTGGCGCAGTGGACTAATTCCATCAGTGGCGGTCAGTGCCGTTTAAGCTGAGGGAGGACGATTTCTTTTCATGAGTGTTACGGATACAGGTATCCTGTATGTGTTTGTGTTTTTCCTCTCCTTCTGCCCTAATCACAGGTGTCCTTCGTGTTCCTGATTGGTGGTCGTTGGGGTGTCCCACCTGTCCGACATCCGTTTGTCTGCTGATTGCTGAGGTGGACCAATCAGTGGATATTCCTCTGCATTGCACCACCTGTTTCTGGTTTTTCACTCACATCACACATCCTATTGTTTTAAAAGCCAGTCAGTTGTGTTTGCTGACAGAGACTCTTTTCGTTTGTGAGTATGGATACTGTGGTGTACTGTTTTTAGTTTACTCACTAATTTGCTGGTTACTCTATATGGTAACTATGTTGTGTGTTCCTGGGAAAAGGGGGATTTAGCAAGTTGCCCTTGGGCATACATTACCCGTAGAAAGAACATTGTCTAAAAACACTAGTTAGACCTGAGTGGACCACCCACTGTATTTTTGTATGGTTAGCAGTAGCTTAGTGGTTCTTGAGGCAGGCAAGATCAGTTTTTTTTTTTTTTTACACTATTGTTTCATTTCTTGGATCCTGCTCAGCCCTTTTTCCCAAACCTTTACCGTGTGTTCATAATAAACATTTTGTGTTTGATGGTAGCTTATGGTTGTCGGTGTATTTTTGTTCTGTTTCCGTGTCACGATTCTAATTTACATTTTACATACATTTAAGTAATTTAGCAGACGCTCTTATCCAGAACGACTTACAGTTAGTGAGTGCATACATTATTTTTATATTTTTCATACTGGCCCCCCATGGGAATCGAACCCACAACCCTGGTGTTGCAAACGCCATGTTCTACCAACTGAGCTACATCCCTGCCGGCCATTCCCTCCCCTACCCTGGACAACGCTGGGCCAATTGTGCGCCGCCCCATGGGTCTCCCGGTCGCAGCCGGCTACGACAGTGGCACAGCTAGCACTGCATCTGCAGTGCCTTAGACCACTGCGCCACTCGGGAGACTGGACGAGTTATGTTACAGGTCTCTTTTCCATCCACCCTAGACTTTTAAAGCCACGGGGTTTGTAACAATGAGCATGACCTTATTTCTATTATAGCATATTGGATGACTCTCATTCATATTCCATTCACCAAGCTCAATGTAACAGTGATAGGTTTAGGCTACTACATGATACTCACATTTTCCCTATACCCATAATGAGGTTGCTACAACCTAGCCTATGAATGAAAGTTTCCAACGTGGGTGCACACAGCGACATTCAATACCGCCTTGCACACTCTTGCCTGCATCTAGCTGATATAGGGTGTAATCATTAGTCCAACAGTTGCAAACAAGAGTTTATATTGGATAATGCATGGTTATCCCTGTTTGCTTCCGTTTAAGAAACGTTTTTCACAGAATCGGCGGAATGAATACAGCCCTAATCACGCGTAAATATAGTTTACTTTCATAGCAGCCACGTTGTATTCCTTCTCGCATCTATGCACTCTCCTCCTCTCACCTCTTCCCTTTGCTTGTGGACTTCAATGCACAACACAGCTGTATGTGACCAGGCTAAAAAACTTTTCCAAGCCAAACCACTACACACAGCCTACATTGTTGTCACCATATTAGCTAAAGTAACGTCATAGTCAGCATAGCTAATAGAACTTATGCGTTAGTACACCTCCTACAATCATGCAGTAACATTAGTGTGCAGTCAGTAAGCAGTTACACGGGCTGGCCTCGGTGGCAATAAATTAGTAATACCAAAAGCTTACCTTGACTTGGAAGAGTTCAAGTGTTGTGTTGGAAAGTCATAGCCAGCTAGCTAACATAGCATCCCTCTGTTTGAGCAGGGTGTTTCAGTAGGCTAAACTAGCTAGCTGCATTTGCTAGCTAAGTAAGTGAAACTGAAAGTGAAATATTCCTCTTTTGTTGCCTTACAACCTGGAATTAAAATGGATTTTTTGGGGGTTTGTATTATTTGAGTTGCACAACATGCCTACCACTTTGAAGAGGCAAAATATGTTTTGTGAAACAAACAAGAAATAAGACAAAAAAACAAAAACGTGTGCGTGCACAACTATTCACACCCCCAAACAGCCATTAGAAACCAATGGCTGTTTGACTCAACCACACCACACACTTCTCATATGGTGGACACTCATGGTCGATTAAACCATTAAACCAACACACAGAGGATTCCCTAAACCACCTATTTGTCATGTTTTTACTACTCACAGTTGGGGTTGTAGCAGTAGACGTCCCATCTCTCACTCTTGTTCAACCTGTACCCGTAGTTGATGACGCCAACCTTGCCGAAACCACAGTTGGCACCGGCTTTGACGATGGGGTAGCCCACACGTCCTTTGTCATACCATCCAGCCGCACACACATGTAAACCTAAGACAGCGGGGCAAAGAGTTAGCCTGGTAAACAATCGGAAAGTTTCACATTGCTTCCAGGCTAAAAAAAGAGTGTCACATTGGTAAAACCATAAGAGAGCTTGGTTTCTAGAGCTAGCACCCATCTTAGTACCACAGATAAAACACTCTTACAGAAGATCCATGGGAATATGGGATTATCACCAGCCATTCGGCTTGGTCATATCCTTAAAACAAAACCAAGTCTTTGGAAATGCTATGATCCCTGTCAAAAATGTGACTTCCAGTGACATTGCATCTGCAATTACAGATGGGAATGCAGATGGGGATGGTTGGTGGGTGGTGGGGGTAAAGCATAATGAACTCCAATATATCTAAAAAGCCTCCAGTCACAATCAGTGGACCACAGTCAGTCAGGAAAGGCAGGAGAGATAAAAACTCAGGCCTCCTAGGTTGATTGTCTGTGGTTAGAGCTGAGCTGCCCTATGGCCAGACGAGTGGTGGTTTCCTAGTACCAGATCCTGAGACCCAGGGCCTGGTCGGGCTTCAATCTGTCTGCCATCCATGGGAACAGCATCGTTACCCAGCTAGGCAGGTGTTATCGTTCTTACAATACTTGAGAGGTCTCTGATTACAGCCGGCCCAATTCCCTACCCACCCCTTGGTCCTAACCCTTTGATGTTTGTAGAGCTGTAAAGTGCAGGGAATATGGTGGAAGCGCCATGCCCTTATACTGCTTATTTACCCTTCAGATCTGCAAACATCAAAGGGTTAGGCCCAAGGGGAAGTGATAGCGAGCGAATTGGGACCGGCTGCAGTCCCACAGAGCAACAGGCTGTAGGAGCTGTAGTTGCAAGACGTCTTTGTTTGATTTAATTGATTTAATGGAAAAAGGCAAGATAAACACATCTCTTCCTGCCAATGCTTGACCAGTGAGACTAGTGACCACATGGTTGGCTAATATAAACTGGTTATATGTGCTGTTAGGCAAACTGTGAGGCGTTGTTAATCAACAGTGGTAATGGCATTTTGTAAACTCAGGGCTCACTCATGAACTGCCAGTGCTTATGTTGAAAGTCATTGACAGAATCCTATTGGCAACATATTGCTGCTTGTGAGTTATGGTCCTCCAGTCTTTTCCAGGGGGGGGGGGGGGGGGGGGGGGGGGAGTTATTACATTGCAAACCTATCTGACGAGCAGCCTCCAGTTGATCGTAAGTGGCAAGTTTCCCTCCTTCGTATTTGCACACAGCCTTGGCTTCCTTATAAGTCAGCTGGTATCTCCCATTACGCGATTCCCTGTGGTAGACTCCAGCGGCTTGCTCTGTCCAGGAAAAAAAAAAAAACGTACAATTTGATTTATTGCACATCGCAGGTGCAGTGAAATGCTTATGTTTCTAGCTCCAAGAGTGCAGTAATACCTAACAATACTCACAAAAAAATATACACTGCTCAAAAAAATAAAGGGAACACTAAAATAACACACCCTCGATCTGAATGAATGAAATAATCTTATTAAATACTTTTTTCTTTACATAGTTGAATGTGCTGACAACAAAATCACACAAAAATTATCAATGGAAATCAAATTTATCAACCCATGGAGGTCTGGATTTGGAGTCACCCTCAAAATTAAAGTGGAAAACCACACTACAGGCTGATCCAACTTTGATGTAATGTCCTTAAAACAAGTCAAAATGAGGCTCAGTAGTGTGTGTGGCCTCCACGTGCCTGTATGACCTCCCTACAACGCTTGGGCATGCTCCTGATGAGGTGGCGGATGGACTCCTGAGGGATCTCCTCCCAGACCTGGACTAAAGCATCCGCCAACTCCTGGACAGTCTGTGGTGCAACGTGGCATTGGTGGATGGAGCGAGACATGATGTCCCAGATGTGCTCAATTGGATTCAGGTCTGGGGAACGGGCAGGCCAGTCCATAGCATCAATGCCTTCCTCTTGCAGGAACTGCTGACACACTCCAGCCACATGAGGTCTAGCATTGTCTTGCATTAGGAGGAAACCAGGGCCAACCGCACCAGCATATGGTCTCACAAGGGGTCTGAGGATCTCATCTCGGTACCTAATGGCAGTCAGGCTACCTCTGGCGAGCACATGGAGGGCTGTGCGGCCCCCCAAAGAAATGCCACCCCACACCATGACTGACCCACCGCCAAACCGGTCATGCCCTTATTGGGGGTGTCTTGCTAATTGCCTATAATTTCCACCTGTTGTCTATTCCATTTGCACAACAGCATGTGAAATGTATTGTCAATCAGTGTTGCTTGGACAGTTTGATTTCACAGAAGTGTGATTGACTTGGCGTTACATTGTGTTGTTTAAGTGTTCCCTTTATTTTTTTGAGCAGTGTATAATAAATAAAGGAATCAAGAAATATCAGAACGAGCAACATCAGAATCCGGAATATAAATATACTGTATAGACAGTATATGAATAGAAAAGGTGTGTATAGCAGTAGTTATATAGGATGAGCCTTGACTAGACCTCTGGCAGTCTCTGTGGGGGTGCCACAGGGTTCAATTCTCGGACCAACTCTATTCTCTGTGTATATCAATGATGTAAATGTAATGTCGCTCTTGCTGCTGGTGACGCTCGGATCCACCTCTATGCGGACGACACCATTTTGTATACATCTGGCCCTTCATTGGACACTGTGTTAACAAACCTCCAAACGAGCTTCAACGCCATACAACACTCCTTCCGTAGCCTCCAACTGCTCTTAAACACTAGTAAAACTAAATGCATGCTCTTCAACCGAACGCTGCTTGCACCCGCTCACCCAACCAGAATCACTACTCTCGGCGGGTCTGACCTAGAGTATGTGGACAACTACAAATACCTAGGTGTCTGGTTAGACTGTAAACTCTCCTTCCAGACTCACATTAAGCATCTCCAAATCAAAAGTTAGATCTAGAATCTGCTTCCTATTTCGCAACAAAGCCTCCTTCACTCATGCTGCCAAACATGCCCTCGTAAAAAACTGACTATCCTACTTATCCTTGACTTCGGCGATGTAATTTACAAAATAGCCTCCAACACTCTACTCAGCAAATTGGATGTAGTCTATCACAGTGCCATCCGTTTTGTCACCAAAGCCCCATATACTACCCACCATTGTGACCTGTACGCTCTTGTTGGCTGGCCCTCACTACATATTCGTCACCAAACCCATTGGCTCCAGGTCATCTATAAATCACTGCTAGGCAAATCCCCGTCTTATCTTAGCTCACTGGTCACCATAGCAACACCCACCCATAGTCTGCGCTCCAGCAGGTATATCTCACTGGTCATCCCCAAAGCAAACACCTCCTTTGGCCGCCATTCCTTCCAGTTCTCTGCTGCCAATGACTGGAACGAACTGCAAAAATCTCTGAAGCTGGAGACACTCATCTCCCTCATTAACTTTAAGCATCAGTTGTCAGAGCAGCTTACCGATCACTGCACCTGTACACAGCCATTCTGAAATTAGCCCACCCAACTACCTCATCCCCATATTGTCATTTATTTTGCTAATTTGCACCCCAGTATCTCTATTTGCACATCATTTTTTGCACATCTATCATTCCAGTGTTAATACGAAATTGTAACTATTTTGTACTATGGCCTATTTATTGCCTTACCTCCATAACTTACTACATTCGCACACACTGTATATATATTTTATGTTCTATTTTTGACTTTGTTTTGTTTACCCCATATGTAACTCTGTGTTGTTGTTTTTAATCGCACTGCTTTGCTTTATCTTAGCCAGGTCGCAGTTGTAAATGAGAACTTGTTCTCAACTGGCTTACCTGGTTAAATAAAGGTGAAATAAAATAAAAAACTAGAATACAGTATATACATATGAAGTGGGTAAAACAGCATGTAAACATCATTAAAGTGACCAATGTTCATTGATTACGTTAACTCTGAGGTGCAGGGTAGAGTACCAGGTGGTAGCCAGCTAGTAACAGTGACTAGGTTCAGGGCAGGGTACTGGGCAGAGTACAGTCTCTCGGTCCCAGCTTTGATGCACCTGTACTGTCTCCGCCTTGTAGATGGTCGCGGGGTGAACAGGCCATGGCTCGGGTGGCTGAGGTCTTGATGATCTTCTTGGCCTTCCTGTGACACCGGGTGCTGTAGATGTCCTGGAGGGCAGGCAGTGTGCCCCTGTTGATGCATTGGGCTGACCAAACCACCCTCTGGAGAGCCCTGCGGTTGTGGATGGTGCAATTGCCATACCAGGCTATGATACAGCTCGACAGGATGCTCTCAATGGTGCACCTGTAGAAGTTTGTGAGGGTCTTAGGGGCCAAGCGGAATTTCTTCAGCCTCCTTGCGCCTTCTTCACCACACCGTCTGTGTGGATGGACCATTTCATGTTGTCAGTGATATGCATGCCGAGGAACTTGAAACTTTTCACCCTCTCCACTGCGGCCCCGTCAATGTGGATGAGAGCGTGCTCTCTGCTGTCTTCTGAAGTCCACAATCAGCTCCTTCGTTTTGTTGACGTTAAGGGAGAGGGTATTTTCCTGGCACCACTCTGCCAGAATCCTTACCTCCCCCCTGTAGGCTGTCTCGTCGTTGTTAATAATCAGGACTACCACTGTTGTGTCGTCTGCAAACTTGATGATTGAGTTGGAGACGTGCGTGACTACGCAGTCATGGGTGAACAGGGAGTACAGCAGGGGGCTGGGCACGCACCCTTGTGGGGCCCCCCGTGTTGAGGGTCAGTGTAGCGAAGGTGTTATTTCCTACCTTCACCACCTGGGCAACTGGACCCAGTTGCACAGGGCAGGGTTCAGACCCAGGGACCAGAGCTCAGTGATGAGCTTGGAGGGCACTATGGTGTTGAAGACTGAGCTGTAGTCGATGAACAGCATCCTTACATAGGTATTCCTCTTGTCCAGACACGATAGGGAAGTGTGCAGTGCAATGGTGATCTGTAGGGGCGGTATGCAAATTGTAGTGGGTCTAGGGTGTCGGGTAAGGTGTAGGGGATAACTAAAATAAGGTGTAGGCGACAACTAAAATGATACGTATCCAGGCAACAGGAAACAAGCGGAAAATATTATGTTTTACAAGATTGGAGGAATCCTTCTCAGGGAGCTAGAACAAGCAAAGTGGCATTCAGACTAAAAAGTCCATAGCGGAAGAAAATAAACACACGGTGTATAGGCCAAAATCTTTCAACTCTGTAACATGTTGTGGTTGGATAGAAAGCCTTATGACAGAAGCGTAGTGTTTGTAATCTCCCTGTTGGCAGTGGCCATTCCCTATGGGGAGTCCTCCTTTGAGGCTGTTTTGATATCACGCATGCATGACCTTGTAGGACTTGGAGTGGACTCCAAATTAGCTACAAACCAATGTTTTCACCTACTAGTCAAACTGTCCCTCCAAGGTGCCTCGTGAGGTGGTGCCTCGTTCTCATTATAAGCCCAGAGTGTGGTGTATCTCACTATTAGCAGAACCAATTATATAGGGGGTTTGGGTCACATGACATATTACTGTAAACATGCACACTCTAAAAATGTGGGGTTCAACAAGGGTTCTTCTAAGATCCTCAAAGTTCTTCGAAGAACCTTTGGGTTCTTGGCACTGAAAATTGCCCCCAAAAAGGTTATTCCAAGAACCCCATAGGAGGTGGGGTTCATCGAGGAACCTCCTTAGTTGGTGTGGGTTCTTGCAGGAACCTAACTGCCCAACTGAAACATTTGGATTTGAATTTGAAAGGACAGCAGGTGCAGGCACTTAACTGAAATATTTAAAGATCTCCTCAATAGAAGGTATGGTTTGTCCCTTGTATGATCGAAATTGATATCAAATTGAAATCAATCAACAAAGAGGTAAGAATATGTAGGCTATAAGAATATGTTGAAGGCTAGCTGTATTGGGTGCAGATGACTGAACTGCTCACTTTTGTGTCTGTAGGTATACAGACGAGGAGGAATACAAAGGTGTGTCAATTGGTATGTTATGCTGATCACATTTACCATCCTCTTCCCTTACCTCTTCAATGAATATCCCATAGGCCTCTACATTATGGACAAGGTATGTGTATGAAAACCATTATCAAACCAGTTTTTTTCATTCACATTTACCACAAAACCCAAGGTATGAATTCTGTCATGTGCATGTTTTGTTAATCATCTGTATAATTACAACTTTTGGGATTCACAGACTTCACCCTCCCTACACCTCTGATGAATATAACAGGAAACCTGTTCGATCACCATGTACTGCAAAATCATTCTGGCTATGGATACGGAGAATATCAACACACCAGAGGATATACACATTGGACTTGGGCTCTGCTGAGAGTTTACCTCATATTTTGATTTTTTTATTCTGCTTTGCCTCTAAAATCATAATAAACACTGACAACTAAAATATTGTGTTATTGTTGTTATTGTTATGCGTATTATTAATAATAATAGGGGAGGTGGGTAGTTAAAAAATTAACCCCAAAAGGCTCTTCAAAAGGTTCTTTGAGGATCCTTCAAAAGGGGTTATTTGAAGAACCCTTTTAAAGGGTTCGTCGAAGAACTTATAGGGGTTCCCCCACAGTTTCAATTTGAAGAACCCCTAAAAGATATTCCAGGAACCTTTTCATTTTAGAGTGCAGTTAAGTTTGTGTTCCAGATGTGTGTAGGTCTGGGCAAGTCGAGCTCATTAACTCTATCAGAAGTAGCCTATACAACACATTCCATTAAAATGGGTTGGGGCACTATAACATTATTAGAAAATAAACACACTGGTCTATAAACTGAGTGTTTCAAGGGCACATGTTATAGCAGTCTCTGTTTTACACAAGAAATGTGAAGAGTCTTCAAACTGATATAGCACTCTGTCCTTGTTCTTTCATTGCTATGCCCTAAACTGAACACTGAAAGAATGTTCTGAAGTTTGCACTGCTTTCTTGTTCAAGTGTGTTTCTTGTCCCTCAGACAAAATTAAGTAGTGTATTTGCAAGTCAACCTCATGCAGTGTTCAGTCATAAATATATCAGTGTCCAACTGTACCCCTTAACTAAACACACATCACAGTGATATGTGCCATTTAATAATGTTACATAACTGCAAAGATGACATAGGCAAAGTGTTATCAGGGAAAATGCAAAATGTTTACAACATTATCAATAGCCTGTTGAAGATAAAGCGCTTTTAGAAAAGTGAACATTAAGTAATACTTTTTCTGACATATGGGAACGATAATTAGCCTAAATTAGGATTTTTTAAATTCAGTTTTGGAAACAAAGGGAAACCGGCGCCTCTTATAGGCCTTTGTACAAACGACCCAACTTTTTGAAAGATCCAATGTGGCATAGTTGTGCTAAACATTACAACTGAACATTCCACAACCATCTTGTAAAATACAAACACAGAAAACTTTCAGGAGAACGTCCTTACAGAACGCCAATGTTTCCAATCGCAGTTGTTGGCATGCATAAAAGTTACTTCCGAAATTAATCCTTGTTGAAAAGCAGCCTAATGATTTAGTGCTCCCAAAGTAACAAAGAAAGCGTGATTTACCCAGCCATATGGAGTTATGAAATATTCCATTTCTGAAGCCCCAGGCTTGCGCTTCCTTCAAGAAGAACCCAATGGCCCAGATGACAGCGAAGACGCGCATTCTCCTCGTGAACAGAGCTGTGCACTGCGCGTTGATGCCCTCTGCCCAGCTGCTACCGTTTGCGCTGTGCTCGCTGCTCATCTGACTACTGGCATTTTAAATTGATAGAGCAAATTTATGCTTGATCCAAAAATGTGGGCGGAGGCGCCGTATGGATGGTGTGACGCAATTGCGGAGCCTCTGGAGGCACGCAGAGGCCGAATTGGGCTCTGTACGGCATCGCCATGCGCCTCTCAAATTTTGTAACAATGTGGAGGGCTCCGTATAGCTTTTATGGGAATTTGCCGGTGTGCGACCAAGACCTGTGTTTGATGTATTCCTCAGCATGAAGACATGATAGATTCTACAGATGTTCTGACATTTAAAGGCATCATTCCATATTTATCACAAACAAATAGTATTTCATAATCTCGGTTACCCTGAAGTAAAATTCTGGAGAAAATTGTCTGTCCATGAGAGATGAAGTATTTCAAAACATTGTTAAAAAACAACAAACTTGTTCTAGAATTATATTTTACCATGAGCAAAGAAAAAGATGAGCAGTTTTATAACGATATAAACCCTGACTAAAATATTAACACAACATGTAAAGTGTGGGTCCCATGTTTCATGAGCTGAAATAAAAGTACCCAGAAACAGGTGTGGCATATCAAGAAGCTGATTAAACATTACACAGGTGCACCTTGTGCTGGGGACAATAAAGGGCCACTCTAAAATGTGCAGTTTTATCACACAACACAATACCACAGATGTCTCAAGTTTTGAGGGAGTATGCAATTGGCATGCTGACTGCCGGAATGTCCACCAGAGCTGTTTCCAGATAATTGAATGTCAATTTCTCTACCATAAGCTGCCTCCAACGTAGTTTTAGAGAATTTGGCGGTATGTCCAACCGGCCTCACAACCGCAGACCACGTGTATGGTGTGGTGTGGGCAAGCGGTTTGCTGATGTCAAAGTTGTGAACATAGTGCCCAATGGTGGCGGTGGGGTTATGGTATGAGCAGGCATAAGCTACGGACAATGAACACAATTGCATTTTATCGATGGCAACTTCAATGCACAGAGATACCGTGACAAGATCCTGAGGCCCATTGTTGCGCCATTCATCCGCCGCCATCACCTCATGTTTCAGCATGATAATGCACGGCCCCATGTCGCAAGGATCTGTACACAATTCCTGGAAGCTGAAAATGTCCCAGTTTTTCCATGGCCTGCATACTCACCAGACATGTCACCCATTGAGCATATTTGGGATGCTCTGGATCAACGTGTATGACAGCGTGTTCCAGTTCCCGCCAATATCCAGCAACTTTGCACAGCCATTGAAGAGGAGTGTGACAACATTCCACAGGCCACAATCAACAGCCTGATCAACTTTAAGCGAAGATGTGTTGCGCTGCATGAGGCAAATGGTGTTCACACCAGATACTGACTGGTTTTCTGATCCACGCCCCTACCTTTTTTAAGGTATCTGTGACAAACAGATGCATATCTGTATTCTTAGTCATGTGAAATCTATTTATTAGGGCCTAATGAATTTATTTCAATTGACTGATTTCCTTATATGAACTGTAACTCAGTCAAATCTTAGAAATTGTTGCATGTTGTGTTTATATTTTTGTTCAGTGTAGGTGTGTTGACTGTTTTATAGCTATATATACTGTAGGTGTGTTGACTGTGATAAAGGCATGAATTATGAGCTGTCTTGTGTGCTAAATGAACAAATGAAGTAGGCAGTGGCATGGTGCATATAGCCATAGAAGCACAGTGACATATGCCTCAATGCAGTCATATTCGTGGCTTTCAGTTAGTTCTTTTTGGCAACCCATCCCGTGAGAGTGAATGTCATTCCAGTTAATCTGTTCTGTTTTATTTAATCAAATCTGACTAACCCTTTGCTTGCTATGAATTCTATCTGATGGTGTTTGCATGTGTAGGTAAAAAGACAAATAATTTCCCGTTTACAACACTGACAAGTAAAGAGCAAATAATAATATATTTTTGTTTTGCTCAATCTGATTGGGTGGGCCTGTAGCCTAGTCTATAGACTAAGGAAACAAAGGCAGAAATGGTATAGATGTTTTAGCTACCTTATCACCCTCTTTGGTCAAGTGCCGCTTAACTAATAATACACCTGGTTGTCAGTGGCAACGGATTGATAGAAGGTAAGGTTATCTCCTCTCCTGCTTTGTCCCACCAAGGCCTAGGCTATAAATACTAGTTTGATTAATTGTAAGCTGTTTGAAAGTATATTTTAAAAAAGACTGTTGTGTAAATTGAATTTCTAGGTATCAGGTATGTAAAGGTGTCCTAAAAGTTGGTATCTAGGATCTCAGAGGTAGGAGTTACAGAGTATCTGGAGAAAAATCATATTGTGGGTTTGGGTCTTTTTTTTCTAATGCTGATCGGTGATTTACTGCCTGTTTGATGTGAAGACATTTCCATATACAGTACCAATCAAAAGTCTGGACACACCTACTCATTCCAGGGTATTTCTTTATGTTTACTATTTTCTACATTATAGAATAATAGTGAAGACATCAAAACTGTGAAATAACATATGGAATCATGTATTAACCAAAAAAGTGTTAAACAAATCAAATATATTTTATATTTGAGATTCTTCAAAGTAGCCACCCTTTGCCTTGATGACAGCTTTGCACACTATAATATACCAATTTATATATACACTATATATACACAAAAGTATGTGGACACCCCTTCAAATTAGTGGATTAGTCTATTTCAGCCACACCCGTTGCTGACAGGTGTATAAAATCGAGCACACAGCCATGCAATCTCCATAGACAAACATTGACAATAGAATGGCCTTACTGAAGAGCTCAGTGACTTTCAATGTGGCACCGTCATAGGATGCCACCTTTCCAACAAGTCAGTTCGTCAAATTTCTGCCCTGCTAGAGCTGCCCTGGTCAACTGTAAAATAAGTGGAAATGTCTAGGAGCAACAACAGCTTAACAGCGAAGTGGTAGGCCACACAAGCTCACAGAACGGGACCGCCGACTGCTGAAGTGCGAAGCGCGTAAAAACAATCTCTCCTCGGTTGCAACAATCACTACCGAGTTCCAAACTGCCTCTGGAAGCAACGTCAGCACAAGAACTGTTCGTCGGGAGCTTCATGAAATGGGTTTCCATGGCCGAGCAGCCGCACACAAGCCTAAGATCACCATGTGCAATGCTGGAGTGGTGTAATGCTCATCACCATTGGACTCTGGAGCAGTGGAAGCGCGTTCTCTGGAGTGATGAATCACGCTTCACCATCTGGCAGTCCGACGGACGAATCTGGGTTTGGCGGATGCCAGGAGAACGCTACCTGCCCCAATGCATAGTGCCAACTGTAAAGTTTGGTGGAGGAGGAATAATGGTCTGGGGATGTTTTTCATGGTTCGGGCTAGGCCCCTTAGTTGCAGTGAAGGGAAATCTTAATGTTGACATCTTTCATTTCTTTAATTCTATACTAAATGCCTATCGAGTCTGTGTGTTTTGTAACAGTTTGCCTTCAAATTGGAAGGACCAGTGCCAGTATGTGTTATCCTCAAACACAGAATCCCAGAGCTCACATGTTATTACATTGAGAGTTTCCCTGAGTCATGGCAGTCTGCAATAAACAGATGTTATAACACTATTATAATTATATCCTCCCACACGTTCTGGGATTGTGTGTATGTGGGACAGTTACAGTGGGGAAAAAAAGTATTTAGTCAGCCACCAATTGTGCAAGTTCTCCCACTTAAAAAGATGAGAGAGGCCTGTAATTTTCATCATAGGTACACGTCAACTATGACAGACAAATTTAGATTTTTTTTCTCCAGAAAATCACATTGTAGGATTTTTAATGAATTTATTTGCAAATTATGGTGGAAAATAAGTATTTGGTCACCTACAAACAAGCAAGATTTCTGGCTCTCACAGACCTGTAACTTCTTCTTTAAGAGGCTCCTCTGTCCTCCACTCGTTACCTGTATTAATGGCACCTGTTTGAATTTGTTATCAGTATAAAAGACACCTGTCCACAACCTCAAACAGTCACACTCCAAACTCCACTATGGCCAAGACCAAAGAGCTGTCAAAGGACACCAGAAACAAAATTGTAGACCTGCACCAGGCTGGGAAGACTGAATCTGCAATAGGTAAGCAGCTTGGTTTGAAGAAATCAACTGTGGGAGCAATTATTAGGAAATGGAAGACATACAAGACCACTGATAAGCTCCCTTGATCTGGGGCTCCACGCAAGATCTCACCCCGTGGGGTCAAAATGATCACAAGAACGGTGAGCAAAAATCCCAGAACCACACGTGGGGACCTAGTGAATGACCTGCAGAGAGCTGGGACCAAAGTAACAAAGCCTACCATCAGTAACACACTACGCCGCCAGGGACTCAAATCCTGCAGTGCCAGACGTGTCCCCCTGCTTAAGCCAGTACATGTCCAGGCCCGTCTGAGGTTTGCTAGAGTGCATTTGGATGATCCAGAAGAGGATTGGGAGAATGTCATATGGTCAGATGAAACCAAAATAGAACTTTTGGGTTAAAACTCAACTTGTCGTGTTTGGAGGACAAAGAATGCTGAGTTGCATTCAAAGACCACCATACCTACTGTGAAGCATGGGAGTGGAAACATCATGCTTTGGGGCTGTTTTTCTGCAAAGGGACCAGGACAACTGATCCATGTAAAGGAAAGAATGAATGGGGAAGGAAAGAATGAATGGGGCCATGTATCGTGAGATTTTGAGTGAAAACCTCCTTCCATCAGCAAGGGCATTGAAGATGAAACGTGGCTGGGTCTTTCAGCATGACAATGATCCCAAACACACCGCCCGGGCAACGAAGGAGTGGCTTCGTAAGAAGCATTTCAAGGTCCTGGAGTGGCCTAGCCAGTCTCCAGATCTCAACCCCATAGAAAATCTTTGGAGGGAGTTGAAAGTCCATGTTATGTTGCCCAGCGACAGCCCCAAAACATCACTGCTCTAGAGGAGATCT